CTCTTGTCTTGGCAAGAGCTTCTTTGTTCCACTTTTTTAAAACCAGAAAGGAAGATAAGTGAGGACTGTTGTCAAAAAAATCTGCATCTGTGTGTTTAGAAAGAGGCGGCTGTTCTATAAATTACAGACTTTTGATGGTACTTATTGCGAGCCAAAGTGCGGACAATCCACCCACTGAGGCCGTTCCCGACACAGTAGATGTCTCCAGAACCTCACATTGGAACACCCACACACATACAGACAAATTGACAAGGTTAAAACAATACAAGCCACGCTGTATGGGTAAAAACCCACTCACCAGCTCAAGGGTGCGTTTTTTATATTGTCATTATTACTGAGCAGCACTTCAATGTGCCTCAAGCATCTATGAATCTGTTTAAGTAATGTGATTTATATCAATACTGCTGAAAGTTTAAATGTGCATGCTGGGGTCCTCAAATACAGTATAGCCTACCATAGACTGTATAAAAGATGGACGGAGCAACCGGCCCCAAAAAATGAAGCCAAAACCTGCAATATCACTACGTCCACTAGCTGCTAGCTCCAAAAAGCCCTGGCTCCCATAGACTGGAATTGGAAAAGAAGTGATCGCAGATCACGAAATACCGCATTCCTCCAGCTCAGGATTTTTTTTAAATTAGTTTTCATGGTCAAATCCAGAGATCAGGTGGTCAATCTGAAAATAAATCAATACTAAATTTTTTAAAAATCATCAACATTTTGCGGGGCAAGGGGCGTGGCTGGCTTGATTGACAGTCGGCAGCGAAGCGAGCAGAAGGCGGTAAATGTGGGCGGGCAGAGAGGGCCCGCCTCTCAATCCGACTGACCAATCACTGCTCCTATGGCTCTGCCCCCCTCCAACGATTTTTTGCGTCACTGGACCCAAAAATCTAAGATGTCAACCAGGAAGTAGCAAAACACGGCAGCTACGTCCATCTTTTATACAGTCTATGCAGCCTACTGGCTCACACTTAAAGCTTTCATCTAAAGCAGAAAGAGGCAGAAGATAGTATTTGCAGGAAAAAAATGTGACACAAAAACTCAGTACAAAAGCTAAAGTTGGAATGGTCGGGCTCTGGTTAGTTTTGGTAATCCATGCTTGTTGTGTGTGTCAGCATTTTACAGTTCGTTAGGACTAGTTTCTGTGTATTCGTCGTGGTTGGCACAAGGAGGAGTTGTTGTGTTTTTCCTCTGTAACACTATAAAGGCTTCACTTTATATGTAGAGAAGCTTGGTGTGACATGTTACGATCTGGCTCTACGTAAATAAAACTGACAACACCAACAGCAAGCCGCTGGTAACACAGTGCTGATGCTGTTATATTACAACATACAGTTGTAAAGCAGTATCCAGTGTACAGGGCAGATATTAAGTCACCATTTAGATAACTACAGTTTCTATCAGTGGTCCTTTTCTTTTCTTCTTCTGCTTCATGGCCTTTTGTCTCCCCACCCGTTGCCCTGTTGTCGTGTTCATCAAGGACAAAACGTATCAGCCTTTATGACGTCTGGTCTATTCTGTTATTGCCAATATTCTCCTAATTATCACACACACTTAAGCTTTCTCTCCTCTGCACTTCTTTCTCCATTGATAAGCCAACTAGGTCTCCTTTCAATGTGTTATTAGGAATCGAGGATGAAAAGCACTGAGCTCCAGTGTTTGCTTATGAAATACTTTTTCACATTTTGTAGTCTGGTTAAAAAAAATAAAAAATTAAAAAGTTTAACCTTTTTCAGTTTCTATTAACAGCGACTGTGCAGAAGGTTTCTGTGAAAGAACATTTGACCAGAACTGACAACAATGGTGAAAAATGAATATCAGATTTTGTTTTGATTTCATAACATCAAGCTACAAGTTTATTTCTGAGGCTACTAGTTAGAAATAAAAGATAAATTGAAGCTGTAAGCAGCGACGGGTCCTCAATGGCAGGAACCTGCTCTGGCCAGGACTCTGATTAAACGTTTAAAGTTTCAGGCAGACGGGAGCACACACAGGCCAATTAGACAGCACTTCCACCGTTTCCATGCCCTTGATAATTATGATAATTTTCAATCACCAAGCCCTTTTGTACGCCCTGGCAAATTTTGAGGTCTGTGGCAATTTCGCTGAAGGAGGAAAGGGATGTTTAAAAATGGCCGTAAATGAGCAAAAATCGCCAAAAATCTCACCATTTGTTCAAAATGGCAGACTTCCAGTTGGGTTCAGGGTCTGGGCTGCTAGACTTTATTGTGCATCCTAACATGATACGTGTAAGTTTCGTAGATCTAGGTGAAACATACTTCCGGCGGTACTGCGTTGATGTTTTCTAGGGGGCGCTATGGAGCCATTTCACCTCTCACATGCCCAAGTCCCCTAAAATAGGACATTTTTCGCCAGTTCAGATCCATCCATCATCTATACACCGCTCAATCCTCACTAGGGTCATGGGGGGCTGGAGTCTATCCCAGCTGACTCAGGGTGAAGGCAGGAGACACCCTGGACAGGTCACCAGTCTATCACAGGGCTACACTTAGAGACAGACAACCAAGCACACTCACATTCACACCTACAGACAATTTAGAATCACCAATTAACCTCAACATGTTTTTGGACTGTGTGGGAGGAAGCTGGAGAACCCGGAGAGAACCCACGCTGCATGGGGAGAACATGCAAACTCCACACAGAAAGATCCCGGGTGTCCTCACCGGGACGAGAACCGGCAACCTTCTTGCTGCGAGGCAACAGTGCTACCAACTGCGCCACCCTGCAGCCCACCAGTTCAGATGTAAATTGCAATGCGATTTTGAGCATGTTTAGGCTTCTGAAATGCGTTAATAATATATTTATATATATATATTAATAATAATGCCTTAATAATTTTAAGAATCAGAAGGTGTCCAATCCTTACACTCTCAGTACTCAGACCCCAATTAAATGCACATTCAGATGCTTAGCAAATGCATTTTGTTGCTATAAAAGACTTACAGGAAATCTCTTTTCAGGTTTTTCTTTTTACTGTATGTTGCGATCCTGTATTCACACACTGCAGCCTGTAGTATTGAGCTCCACACAAAAGCATTCACACCTTTTTCTGTCCTTGGTTTACGATGAAACAACAACACGTTATCTACTGCTTGGCAGCTGATTAAAAACATCCAACCTTTGCTTAGCTGCCGTGTAGAAACTATTTTAAATTCGATTTGATGGATCTTTAATATATGTTGAATGCTTGTCATTGTCTGCTTTGTTTGAGAGGAACGTGCGGTGTTGTTGTGGGACGTTTTCAACTCATAGTAATAATAATAATAACCGTTTTTGTGTTATTTTAATGAATCCCTAACAACACGAACTCCAGCAACGCTTTGTCTCTTCAGATGACATTTAATTGCAAACGTTGTCTTCTCACAAAAAGCATTTCCACTTCCTCTGATTTCTTCCCTGCGTTTCTCCTTTAAACAGTAAAAGAAAAGGAAAGAAAGACTCCAGGCCCGTAAATCAACAGTTATTCGATTGCTGGAATCACCATGATTGTTCCTAATTACTTCACTGGAGAAACTGTGAGTCTGTGTGCAGAAGCTCAGCTGTGAAGAAAAGCCTTTAGGTTGGCGACGATCACGACGACACACAGGAAGATTCAGGAATCGACGAAACCACCTGCGTCAAACGGCCTTTCTAGAAGTTTAGAGACAGTATGGATGGTGTTGGTGATACTGTAGCTTTTAACAAAGTCAAAGAGAAGAAAGTGGATTTTTAAAAGTTGTGGGCGAGCCGACGGACACATTTCAACCCCATTCAATATCATCCCACACCTCAGATTTGTTGACTGCTTCGTAAACTTCTCCACAGACTTTGTTCTCTCTTGAAGGATTTGCTGCGACTGCTTGGACGGCCGTTCAATCAGCCACCTTCTCCAGAGTCGTTTTTTTTTGGACGCCCACGTCCCCCCGCGGTTGTGAAGTCCGTGTGTCAAAGAGTGAGGGAAAATGTCCTCAAGCATGTTCTCATAAAAGATAGCCTCACCAATGTGCCCACATTCACGGCACACTGCTCAGATCACAGCTGGCGTCTGTATTCAACCATCGCTTCTCTCCCGGGTGAACATAACACAGCCGGTACCAATTTCCGTTATTAGTGCAGAAGAGGAGCAGGAAGCGGCGCCGATGCTCGCCAAAAGTGTCACTTTGGTTCTCAAAAACAGGACGTATTTTAAGTAACATATTTTATTTCTCCTGCCTAATTGCGTTTTATGTCACGACGGAGTGAAAGCAGGCAAATTCATTTCCTGAGCGCCGTGTGGTCCGCTTCAGTGAAAGAGGCCTGGTGTTCTGAAAAGGGGGCAGTGGTTTAAAAAAAGAAATGTTTGTAACCGTATCAACAATGAACGATTAATTTTGCCATGATTAGCTGTGAGACCGGTGTAGTTTAATGGACAACTAATAACAGCAGGGTTTTGTTTTAACAGAGCTGCTACTGGCATTAATATTAGAAGATTCATTTTTAAGCTCCTCACTGCTCCTCCATGCAGCTCAAAACCCAAACTAAAGGCATTTTTCTTGTGTCGGAATAATAGCTACCACTGACACTTTCACTCCTATCCTCACGTTGCCTCGGTCTGCAGCGTGGGTCTTCAAAACTGGCATTTCACTTTGCTTTTGATGCATTCTCTCCTGCCGAAGTATTGAAGAATTATATCTCGTACAAGAATATTTCTTCTCGACTTAAGGTGCTTTTATGAAGATGAAAAAAGCAGAAGAGAAAAAAGAGGAAAAGAATTTTCGGCGACTAATAAGCAGAAAAAAGGGCAGGAGATATATTGAAAAGCTTTCATTTAATCAGGTAGTTTTTTTTTTTATGCTAAAGAAAAAGACGTGTTTCGACCTTCAACAGCGTTTTGATTGGCACAGAGCTAATGTGAAACAGATTATCACCACCTTCTATGGTATTAAGAGTCGCGCTGAATGATGTGTTTAAACAAATTAAATGCTATTTGCGTAACCGTGTCGTTGTTTGACTCCCCTCAGCTCGCCCCAGACGACGCCTGGAAGTGTCCCCACTGTAAGCAGCTCCAGCAGGGGATGGTGAAGATGAGCCTGTGGACGCTGCCCGACATATTGATCCTCCATCTCAAGCGCTTCCGACAGGTAGGCGGCCTTCTGTCCTAATCAGTTTTTTTTCTATTAACAGTTGATCAAATACTATATGTAACAAAAGCACATCACCTGATTCTGTTCACACACAACAAAACTAATTGGTACATGATTCAAAGGTGCACCATCTTGCAATAATAATGTTATTTTCAGTGTGAGAGGTTGGGTTGTTCGGATATTACCCAATTTTGTACTAATTCAAAGCAGCTTTTGAGGTCGTTAACAATGTTCAATGTTTGAGTGAGCTTCCACTCTTTTCACGCAGCATGAAAGAGTTTTTAGAGTGATTCATAGGAGTTTTATTAAACTGCAAATTGGTGCTGAGACAGCTTCAGAAAGATCTTGTTGGATGTTCGGAAAAACGCTTAATTGACGGCGGCGATGAAGGTTGGGATTTCAAAGACGTCTGTTCGTGCACATTTGTGAGACTGCAAATATTTTTAACCGTCTAGCCATGAGTTCGTTCAGTTCAGTTTTATTTATACGGCGCCAATTCACAACATAGGAGGAGTCTCAGAAAAGTTCCAGGACTGGTGTCACAAAGGATATATTTCAAACCCAAAGTAATCGCCAGCACGTCTACAAAGAGATCCTGTGGCGTTTGCTTCGTTCAGAAGAGGCGAGAGTTGTGGCAGGACAAGTCGTGGCTGCTTCACCATGACAACGCGTCTACTCACGATACCCACAGTTCCTGGCTGAGAAGAACATCTCCGTGCTGGAGCAACCTCCCTACTCACCCCACCTGGCTCTGTGGGATTGTTTCCTCTTCCCTAGGCTCAAGGGGGTCGTCAAGGGGACCCGTTTTGAAGACGTGGACGACATCAAGATGGCTGTGACGATGGAGGATCTTGGAATAATCCTTCCAGGAGGATTACTTCGAAAGGGAAAGCTTGTAGTTTGGATTTGAAATATATCTTTTGTGCTACCAGTCCTGGAACTTTTCTGACACACCTCGTATGTCATCTCACAGCACTTCACATGGTTAAGCGAAGACCTTACAAATTTCCAACAGAGAAAACAAACAAATCCAAAATTTTCTTCGGATTGCTGTTAAGCAAAACCTTGAATACAGTGGGAAGGAACAAAAAAAACCTTCTCTTTACCAGGACGGACCAAAAAAAAGAAAAGCCTCAGACAGAACCAGGCTCATGGAGGGTGGCCACCTGCCTCATCTGGTTGGGATGAGTTCGGTGCTTTAGCTCTGAAGTGTCTAATTGAAGTATCACAGTAAATGTTGGACAGAGTTCAATGAAATGTTGTTCGTGATAGGACTGGGTGAGATGACTGGAACAACTTATCCCGATAAAACGTTTTATTATAGCAGACACTGAACATTATTGATCATTAAAACATGGTAAACGTTGAAAGAATAAGGCTAAAGGAATGATCTCAAGTGCGCTGATGCCAACTATAAGATGCCAGAAGTTCAGCGTTTGGATGGTAGCAGTGGAGACACACGAGTCCTGCAGTCAAGAGCGAGGCCCAGAAAAGATTTTTTTATTTATTTTTCTTTTGACCGCAAAGTTCATCTCATCTCACAAGAGCACCCAATTACCCACCAACGCATCAGCATCGTCTTTCACAGCTGGAGACGCACAGACGCCACGGGGTGAGCAGTGGAGAGCACCACGCTCTATTATCGAGGAATACAATGGGCTGTCTGTGAGCCAGGAAAGGAACACCATGCAGCATTTTTATGTGCTTTAACAGCTGGCGTCAAACTGTCCAACATTCGATTTGATGAGGCGTTTATTGCTGAGACATCGTGTTTTATCAGCCAGGTCAACTCTATTTGACTTTTCCTACAGTGCCACCAACTTTAAAAACAACTTCCTGTGAAATATCTCAACTTACTGTTGGTGGAGTTTTGCACAAGCCGCCGCGGTTCCCAGAGGGCGAGGACGGCAGATGGAAATGAGCTTTTAGATTTTTCTCCTTCAGTAAATATATGCTGTGTGAAGTAAACAACAATATATAAATAAATTACCTGCGGATATAGGGGCCAACCGTCTCACTCTGTGGCACAAACTTTCATGAGTATCTCTTCGTATGCCTGTCACGGTCAAACGTCCACACCGCTGCCCGCTGTGTCCTTTTGCAACACAATGGAAACAACTTGTGAGCTACGTTGGTACTTCAACATTTCTGCTATATTCCCATAAACTCTGACAGGATTAATTCTGACTGAATTTAATGAAGCTCTACAGCATGTTGACAAGACAGGGGGCAAATAATAATAATAATAAAAATGAAGAAGAAGAATTTCATTTGAATGTCAATAGGAGCACAAAACACAAACAAAGTAATGAATCGTTATGAAATTTATTCTTTTATTTAATGTTTATTTAATCAAGCCGAGTCTCTGAACTCTGCAACCTCTTTTTTTTAACAAGAACTTATGATGTGAAGTCTCTGCACAACCTCAGCTAAATAAAACAAAGCAGAAAACACAATTCTGGAAGAGGCTGATGTCGGATGAGGAACACCAGAGACTCAGATGACTGAGGTTGAAATAAGGTTTACTGATATATCAGGAGAAGTGACACTAACAGTAGATCAAGCCTGCAAAGCCAGCATCAGATCCCTCTCACACCTTTAGTCTTGTATCCTCCTTCAGTGGGAGCCACATCCAGATTTATGGGTGAAAGGAAAACAAACATAAGTCGGCACCTGGGTATAATCTGGCTTTGAGAGGTGCTGGCAGAGCCTGTCTGAGGTCACAAATGTGAGCTCACACCTGCTACAAGCACTAACTTCACCTAAGGAGGTCGATCAGGGTTCAGTGTCTTCTCTAAAGGATGAACTCCAAGCCAGGAAAGTAATTTTTTCCTTCACAAAGGTCAAAGAATTTGCAAAACAACTATGAAAATTAGGAAATAGTAAAACAATAGTCTTTAATCCAATCAAGGACACTCAGTTCTCCTACAACTTCTTGGCTGGGAGCAGAAGTAAAATGAACATTTAATTCCTTTTCTCTGTCTGTGCGCTTGAAACAAAATGTCCTTGAAAAATGTCGGGTGATTAACAATCGCAGTTCTTGCTGCTTAATTGCTCCACACATTCTGCTGAAGGTCACCCATAATTCACCGCAGGTTTCACTCGTAAAGTTCAGCGTACTTGTTACGCAGAGTACTTGTCAGTCTGCGAAAAGAGTTTTATTTCATTTTTAGTGCTCACAACAAGACTTTCTAAAGACAAAAACAAACCCAAAAAATCCCTGACAACTGGAGGTTTGAGCTTCCTTTCACAGAACGTCTCCTTCTTTAAAATGAAGGTTTGTTTTTAATCGTACAGAATTCGCTTTTGTCCTACTTTGTTTTCAGTTCTTTCAAGTCAACATTAACTGCGTTTTACATCTTTGTCTCAAACGTCCACACGAAACACGAAAATCTTTTTGCTGCTGCCTAAAAACAACAACAAAAAACAGTACTAATATCATTCAAAATTAATATATTCAAGATTTATCACAGCCAAAAACATGTTGCTCAGTCATAAACATGATGCACTCAAACGTAAACACTCTATAACACTTTATAATAAGATCACATATCATCTTTCTGCTTTTGACGTTAGAGTACTTGCTCAAAATGATTGACAGAATGCCCCGTCCCCATCAATAATGAGTGATGCTCTGAATTAGGACCCATGGCAAACTTAATAAATAGTTCCATCTGTTGAAACTGCACAGTCCAAATTGGGTGCTTTTGAACGGGGTCCACCAGTCACATGATCTGAAGTCATTTGGGAAGAAATTGATTGACAGATTCATGGATAACTGGAATGTTAGAGTAAAGCACCTATGAGATACAAAACTGTACCTCCTGGATCTGGGGGCACCGTAGTCTGTAGGATGACTGTTAAAGAAGCCTATTTGTGGGCTGTTGTTTGAGTTGCTGATCATTTAATCATTTGCCCCTGTCTAAGGACACAGCTCACCTTGGCCAAGTCCAGAGTGTATTTCTCAGCTGTCGGCTTTATCTGGCTGACTCCAGCACTCCCACTGGTGCACAGTGACCGTAGACTGTATAAAAGATGGATGTAGCAATTGGCCCCGAAAAATGAAGCCAACCCGGAAGTGTCAAAAACCTGCTATATCACTACATCCCCTAGCTGCTGGCTCCAAAAAGTCCTGGCTCCCATAGACTTGACTTGGAAAAGAAGTGATCACAGATCATGAAATACTGCATTCCTCCAGCTCAGGATATTTTTTAAAATTAGTTTCCATGGTCAAGTCCAGAGATCAGGTGGTCAATCTGAAAATAAATCAATACTGAATTTTAAAAAAATCGTCAACATTTTGCGGGGCAAGGGGCGTGGCTGGTTTGATTGACAGTCGGCAGCGATGATGAAGCGAGCAGAAGGCGGTAAATGTGGGCGGGCAGAGAGGACCCGCCTCTCAATCCGTCTGACCAATCGCTGCTCCTATGGCTCCGCCCCCCTCCGACGATTTTGCGTCACTGGCTCCAAAAATCCAAGATGTCAACCAGGAAGTAGCAAAACCCTGGCTTCATTTTCTCAGTGCAGAAACCAACGGGTGACGTCACGGTAGCTACGTCCATCTTTTATACAGTCTATGACAGCGACTGGCTTCTTTAAACGACACTACACGTACCAAAAACCATTTCTTGCAGCAAGGTTTGAGTCCAGCTAAGCTGCTGTGATTATCTACTGATTAACTGGCACTTTTCTGCCCCTCACTGATGAAGGTCTCACAAGCAGGTGGCATCATGTAGAGTCCTTGGCTCACAGAGGCCCCAGGAGTTAAACCCCAGCCATCACCTCATCACATCTGACACCTTCCTGCAAACTCCTGTTTCAAGCCGTGGCTTCTCCCCTCTCCCCAATGTCGCTTTTCTCAATCTCTGCATTAGAATTCAGGCGGTGACTCTGGTGAAGTCTATGCCAAGGATCAGTTTTGCATAAGAGACCAAAGCCAGTGATGTGCACAAAAACAATTTCTAATGTCAGGGGGGGCCAGCTTGAAAATCCACAAGTCTCAGAATAGCAGAAGAAGCACCGGGTCTTCAATTGTGAAAAATCATTTGAATTTAAAAGTCCGTACTGAATCACATTCTGCAAAAACAATTAAATTAAATGAAAAGAAATACTGCTGGATGTCTCATGGTAGCTTAAAACTTTGTTAGAAGTAATCAGATGTCGTCACACCCAGGAGAGCATCTCGAGTCAAAGGCTGATGCTTGTTTAATCTTTTTGTGATGCATTTAAAAGCTGAAATCTTGCTGCAACATCAACAAGATTGAACCTGAAAATGAATGAAAGTTTCATCTTGTTTTCTACCTTGTCTGATTAGTCTTCATTTACCGATGTATTTCCAGCTATTATTGATCATTAACTTGATGGCTGTTTAATCAGCTCAGTGTTAAACCCTTTCTCCAGTGAGATCTGCTCCTTTTGGATTTACAAATAAGTGTTTTTTTTGTCGGGGGTTTTGCCTGCACATCCTGTAAAATCTTTTCAGAAACACACCTTTCATTTTTCCACGCAGTATAGTGTGCAAAAAGTAAAAGAAACTAAATTCAGTCATCTGGGCCTCACTGGGCTTTGACCGGGCCATTTAAGGCCAGCCGGTTCCTGAGGCCATGTTGTATGTCTTTCACTGTCCTGCTGAAAGGTGAATCAGCATTCCAGTCGAAGCTCAGCGCACTCTGGAGGTTTTCTTGAGTTTGACTGAAACTTTTCTCGACCTGCCTCCCATGATGCTGCCGCCACTGTGCTTTCTTATAGGGAGGTTATAAGCAGATGAGTGGTGTCTGGTGTTCTTCAGATAAGGTGCCTGGAGTCATGGCAAAGGGCAAACACAATGACTTGTCATCCCCGAGTCCTGAGTCGTCATGCATCCCAGTGTCCTTTTATTTTGATTTGACAGCTTCAAGTGTGCTGTATTGTACTGCTTTACTCTTGTGGCAACCTTTTAGTCGCTCTACCATAAAGGCCCGACTCTGTTCTGTTGTTCCATCTCTGCAGAGGATTTCTTAAGCTCTTATTAGAGTGGCCGATGTTTTCACTCTCCTCCTGGGAACACTCAGACATTTAGAAGAAAACTTTATACTCTGTGTCTTGCTGCAATTTTATTGTGAAGGTCCGCAGCGAGTTCCTTTGACTTCACGGCTTGATTTTTGTCCTGACCTGCAGTATGAAATGTAGGACCTCATACACAATTATGTCAAGGTTTTTAAAAGCAAACAGGATGGAAACGTTTGTTGTACCACAGCCGGTTCAATTCAATTCAATTTAATTTGTATAGCACCTTATAAATTTGAGCAGAGAACCCAACAATCCAAAGCTGAGGTGCCTGAATACTTTTGTAAATGACTGAGAACTGAGATTTCAGTGATTGATTTTTATGACATCTGCAAAAACATGTTTCCACTGTGATGTTAGGGTTTGTTAAGTGTAGATTTGTGGGCAAGAATTTTTTCCATTTAAAAATCAACTCAATATATAAATTCACTGTAAAGTGTGCAAAAGTGAAAACTTAAGCAACACTGTGTGGACTGTATATATGAATAAAAAAAAATGTTGCAACAGGTGGGAGAGAGACGGAACAAGCTGTCAACCCTGGTGCGTTTCCCCCTGACTGGTCTGGACATGGCTCCCCACGTCGTGAAGAGAAGTCAGAGTATGAGGAACGTGAACATGGGGCCGTCCCAGCCCTCCTGGAAGCAGCCCTCAGGCCAACACCACCAATCTGCTGACATGATCCTGCCCCACGACTACCTGTACGACCTCTACGCTGTGTGCAACCACCACGGAGGAATGCACGGAGGACATTATACTGGTACGGAGCGGGGTGATGTGATACATTATCATATGAGCTGAATGAACTAACGTGTTGAATTCATCCATACATGATGAGCATGTGTTTACTCTTTTTTTTCATTTCATACCACCTAATGCAGGGGTGTCAAACTCTGGCCCGCGGGCCAAATTTGGCCCGATTAGTAATTATATTTGGCCCGCGAGACAATACCAAATGACTACTAGAGCTGCCCCCGGTATTATACTGTACGGCGCATTCACCGCTAATACTACAAATCCCATAATGCCCTGTTGTTGTTTTGGCACGTCAATCAGGTCAGGAGCCCTCTCCTCTGTGACAGTAGGCATAGCGACTTCACACTGTCACTGTGCCATTGATATGTTTTTTTATTTATAATTTGATTTTGCATGCCTCCACTATTAAGTTATATATAATGTATGGTAATAAGCGTTGCTTGTTGCATGTTCAATGTTAAAGCAAAATTTGTTTCAGTCCATATTAAAAGGTTCATTTGTTGAATGTTGGCCCGCGACTTTGTTCAGGTTTTAAATTTTGGCCCACTGTGTTTTTGAGATTGACACCCCTGATCTAATGTATCTTTACTATTTTTTACCAGGGACTGTGTCCGTTCATCAGGCCATTATTTTTAACATGTGTAGGATTTAGCAAATTCTTTTAGCATGACTGAAGCAAGGGCTGCAAAATAATCAGAATTACAGTTTTGTAAAATCCCTCATTTTCATTTCCTCAGAATGGGCCTCCCATGGTGCATTGCTATGCTTCTATTGTATCCCAAATTGCACTAATCAAACACTGGCTTTAGGTGGTTTCTTTTTTCTTTTTCTTTCCTTTTTTTTTGCCATTAATGATGTGCCGCTCATCATTGCTCTGATGCACTATAGAGCAGACAGCGGTCGGATTTCGGGCTTAACATTATTTATACATGTATGAGCTTTTGTGAACAGCATCTTAATGCAGAGGACAGTACATAACATCAGATGTATCTGGCATAATCCACACATTTTCAAAAAAACAGTCACTACTCAGTCCTATCCCTGATTGATCTTCATATAATGTCAGCTTAGAAGTCAGACAACATTTAGCTTCTATTGGGAATTAACAAGTTTTGGATGAGCCATGGTCACATGTCACACTAATTTTTCTCTTACTGGTGTTTTGACATCATTATTGTTATTTTTAGAAGTGATGTTTCCTCCCACCATCTCACATTCTCTCTTGAGTAAACTGCCCAATAAATATAAACCACATTTCACCCAAACGGTTATGATTAAGACATTCCTTTAGCTTTTGGGGGACATCACCGAGCATATAGATGATAACTTCAGATAAGTGCAGGATGGGGAAACTCACAGGCAAAGTGAAGCCATGTCTGTAGCTGCAGGGGATAGTTGGAGAAGAAACAGCACTGAGGCCAACACGTATCAAAAACCAGAGACGGCAGGGGATGAGGAGGAAGCAGCAGCCGTCACCATGACAGCTTCTTTGCTCAGCTGCATCCTGTCTGCGGGTCTTTTATGATGTGGAGGAGGTGAAAGTGGGAGCCTCGTGCACTATAGCTTGGGAGCAGGAGTGCAATGAACAGACGCCATTGTACAAACTCTAGAGCAGGGATGAAAACAACATCCGCTATGAGTAGATTTGACAATCCACTGCTTTTTTTGTTGTTGCTTATTCTGTCATGTTGCAGAGCTTTGAAGATAAGGAGTCGTAGCTGGCATGAGGACTCGCGGCGGCATTATTTATCCATGGAGAAGCCCTCCATGTTTCAGGGAGTTGGCTATAGTGGGGCTTTGCTGCTTTATTAAGTTGAGAAAAATAAACTTTGTTCGGTGCGCTTGTTGCAGTAAAAGAAAATGCAACCTGGGTTCAAATGTGTGGCTGTTTTGTATCGTATTTGTTTGATTGTGTTCATGCAATATGCTGATAATGATAAAAACCTTGTTATTTAGCTTGTTGCCATCACACAAGTCCCACCTTTTGAGGCGTCTCCTGCTTATATGCTTTCCTCCAGCTTACTGCAGGAACTCCGTGGACGGCCAGTGGTACAGCTACGATGACAGCAGCGTGGACCTGGTGCCAGACGAGGAAGTGTGCACCAGAGGGGCTTACATCCTTTTCTACCAGCGACGCAACACCATTCCTCCGTGGTCAGCCAGTAGCTCCATCAGAGGTATGCTACCAGATGGCGAGTCAACTAGACAGCATGTGATAGATAAAAGGGCTTGTGCTTTTACCCAACGGACTGCAAACTTACGCCCCATCTGGTGCAGTTTGCTCTGTCAGCAACGAGCCCACAGCGCCGACATGTTCTCTGCAGGTCTGACGGTTATTTTAAATATGCACCATTTTTATTACATGTAATCAGTGGACATTATCATACAAACTTATTCATTGTCTTCTTGCGGAACCGTTTCCATCATGAAAAATGCATTGTGTTATATCAGTGCAAACTATATGCACAATGAATGTACATTTATATTTATGTGTACAAGCGGGAGAATCCATTAGACACAGGAACATACGTCCTGCTGTACGAATAATTTAGATAAACAATGATTTCTCTGTGCAGCTGGCCAATGAATAACTCATGGAAAAGCAGGTAATTTGATAGAAACAAAGATCAGTGCACCGTGTTTTCCGTAGCTCCGGGTTTGTATTCATTTTCTTTGATGTAAATATGAAATGTATCCACATCTAACAGAAAGTCTTTTTGAAATATGACAAAATATGTAAGTACGGCAAGTGTATGGAAGCCTTTGTTTAAACCTGTAAGTAGCCCAGAGGTTAGATAAGTGCAGTAATCCAATGGGACTTCTATTTAGCCAACTTCTAACAGCCAGTATCTACAAAACTAGACGATCAGCTTATCCTAACTTAGATTCACAAAGAGATCAACCAAATCCATCAATCATGCCTGAACTCAGTTCCCAAACAACCTCACATTATGGTCAGTGTTTTCGAAAAGTCCAAGATCGTCTTATCCAAGCTCAAACTGAAAAGTGACAAAGAAATCCTCTATATTTCTAATCATCAAACTTCAATCTAGCTATACTTTATATCCAGTGGTGTTAAAAGAAAATGTAATTGATTGACATTGTGATTGAATGTTACATTACGGATTAGCATCACAATTAGAAACATGAATAAAAGACATCTAATTGTGCCGTACTGGAGGCAGTAAAGGCAAAAAGAGGACCATAATACAACAACACATCTATCCATCTTTATCCTTTTTACTTTGGCAAAAAATCCATACGTGTCAAATGTTACAGCTCGGCTCAAAAACTGTGACAAAAACCGGGAGAAAACAACTATGTGGTGGCT